AAACAGCAGCAGGAAGAGCTGATCCCGGGCCGGACAGCTCTGGAAGAGGCTGAGCAACAACTCAAGCGTTCCACACAGCTGTAAAACATAGTACAATAACAGAGTTAGGTTTAAATTGAGATTCAAGTCTCTACTAAGGGCTCTGATCAATTAAAAGAAAGTTTTCTGAGTGAAAACATGAGATTCTGAGATTTGTAAAATACTAGCGTTCCCTCAAGATAAAGTACATAGGTTCATACAAATATGTTCATATTGCATTATTTGTGTGGAGATTCTTATTGGGAAATTCTTAAAGAGGAAGATAGAATACAGAACATATTTTTAAGGTGTTCTACACATTAACTTTGGTAAAGTGGCCAAAAATGTGTCCCTTCTGTCAGCCAAGCTTTAACTTGGAGTGAGCTTGCAGGTCAGGCTGGTTCATTCAACAAAGGTTACATTTTGTTATAGACTATCTCACAAAGCAATAGTTTCAATGTATCTGTTACTCAATGAACAGAAGGAATAGAATTATGGAAAGATTGGGTGAATTTCAGTCACAAGCTGAACAAAGATGACCTAAAATAAAAAAACAAAACAATTTGAAGGACAGTCAAAGGACGGCAGCGACACAGCTCATTTCCTGCTGCACAGGAATTACATTTTACAGCTTCCTGTGCAGATGTATCATCTTTTAAATGCACTTTGAGGAAAATATGTGTCATTGCACACTAATAGTAACTGGCTGACCTACTCCACATTTTTCAAATTGCTGTTACACACAACAATGGCTGAAAATATAATTTCTCATCTGAAAATGCCTGATCATCTCTCACCTGGTCCTCGTCCCCAATGGCTGCCATGTATCCCAGAATGCTGTGCATCTCTTCCTGGGACATGCCCTTGCTGATGTAGTATTTGATGAGACCGCAGAGTGATGCCCGGATGGTGCGGATGTCATCCTCACTCAGGTCACTCTCTTTGTTGCTGTTCTTCCTGCAGGGCATATAAAATATGTAATGTCTTTTTTTCTAATGACACCATGTGACAATGAATGAGGTTTGAGTGGTTTACCCATAATATAGTCGTATGGTGTCCAAAAGAAACTGGACGCCATGTTTCTTCCTAAACTGTTTACGGTTGTCCTTGATGACGGTGGACATGTACTGAATATGACCTTTAGAAAAGACACCCGCTTAAGAAAAATTGAATTAAGGGAGGACACGAAAAAATAAAAAGATGAAAAAACACGAAAGGGCTGATTGTAAGGAACATGCTGGAAAAAGTAACAAAAATGGGGCTGCAAAAATATACTAGAAAACAGAAACTTAGACAAATTAGATAATTATTATTCTGAAAACCATAGTAGACCATTAGTGGTTACAAGTTAGACAAGTTTGCCAAATGATTCACAGCTCACAGGCCACCATCTTTCTGCCGGAATGACCAAAGGAGTGTCTCACCGATGCGCAGTGGGAAATCTCCTTTGTTCCAGATGTTAAAGTTAAAGAGCAGATGTGTGTGGAGCTGCTGTAGCAGAAGCTGGTTCTTCTCGTGGGTCACCTGCTCGATCAGTAGCTGAGAGGCTACCAAAACGCTGACATCCACATGGCCTGATGCAAACTACAATCAAACAAATACACAAACATTAAACAAAGACGTCAGCATATGAACAAGGAAATATAACAAAGTGAACAAGGACACTTAAAAATGTCCACTAAAGTAAACATTATGTGTCTGTCTTAGCTGCAGAAAAACCACAAAGATAAACACATTTGTGGCTTATGGTCGCCATCAGGGTGTGGTTTATTTTCTTTAAGCCATTATTATCACATCTAAACAATTATCTTTGACTAGCTATGTCTCTGTGGAGACTTGGACTTTCCCTGAGAGTAAATGTTGATTCAGGGTTGTTTTCTTTTTCAATCTTTGAACTACTACTGGGTTTAGTGAACAATGAAGCAGAGACCTTCTGCAGCAGTGCTCCCAGTGTAGTGACACTGTGTGAGTGAAAGAAGTTCTCCTGGTTGATGGGGTGTCTCTGCAGGAAGTGCTTTAGCACCAACAGGAAAGTGGCTACCAGGTTCTTCTCTAGACGAGCCTCTGAAACATAATGAAAACAATGAAAAAAAATTTAAAAATCCAAAGGTTACTTGTTTTTAGTGATTTAGTGAAGAGTTAAAATAATAAAAGCATAAAAAATGAATTATACTACACTGATTAAGAAAATACTACTTTTTTGGGGCATCTCCTACTCATCTCTTTAAATTTTTTACTGAACCTGAGGCTCTGTTGGACGGGAGTATGACCCAGTCTCCTTCTCCAGGTGTGGATACATCGGGGCTGATAAATTCTGAGCCAGCAATAGAGTCACTGTCCTGCTGATCAGGGGCCACCTGAGACAACTGCTCCAAGATGGGGAAGAGAATGGAGATACCTCCAACACAGTTGATCATGTCCTAAAAGTGAGGGATACAGCCACATATAAGAGCAGAAACTCCAATCAGTGGTAGGCCATTGTTTGCACATAAGACCTTCCAACCTTGATGTCCCAGTTGACGACTTTGTTTCCGGTCAGACGACCATGTAGCTTGTTAGGAGACAGATCAAGACAAATGGGATTCCTGCAGGCCTGTGTTTAGGAAAGTAAATGAGCCAGAACATTATGAGTCATAGAACTGATGTTAGGGTTCGAAAGAGCCTAGATGATCCTGCAGTGTTCCCATCACCTTTGGTGAGTAGTGTAGCAGCAGTTTAGATGAAAGATCACCAAGTTCTGACTCCTGGGCTTTGAGTGGAGAGATGCAGTTTGGACCTGCGTCATAAAAGAAATGAGACAATTTCTGAGCTTTTGTCTGTTGTCCTCTAAGGTCACATCCTGCTCATTCTGCTTACCAGAACTGCAGATGGCTTTGATTTGATTGGCCTGCAGTGGTTCATGGAACACCATCACACTTCCCAGTTGCCCCTGCAGAGAAGTGGGGGTGCCCCACTCGCTGTCCTGAGTCCCTGCAGAGATCACTTTGGTCACAGACTCTGGTTTACCCCCCAGCAACCCACCCCATGTCTGTGGTGACAGGATTCCACCCAGAGAGGAGCGAGTGGTGGGTGTGGTGACAGATGAAAAAGGAGGGTCGGGAATCTGTGAGGGAGGGGGCGTCGTGGTCCGCTGACCAGCTGAGCCGATGCAGCAGGAAGTGAATGGCTGAAATTAAAAACAAAAAAGTTTTACTTTTTTTCAAACATATTTATAAGGTGCTGCTGGTGGTCTCCAACCCTACATTGTTTTTAAAACTTGGAACAAGGTTCACTAGCCTAAAGCCTCACCTCTGTCATTATGGGATACTTTAATGGTGCAGACAGTTTCTGCTGTCCATCAACATAAATGTAGACCAGACTCTGTCCAAATGGTCTTTTCCCTGGTACATGCACGACACTGATACTGTGCTGCAGGAAGATATGCATAAACAAAATTTAATCATGTTTAAGATTAAATGTTCATGTTCAGGTCAAGTTTTTTTTAATGTATATGTAAAATATGAAACTGACTGACCCACAGTGAGTCACAGAAGCAGTAGTCCGGCAGCAGAACGGTAACGTATTCCTTCTTAGTGCACACTGCTACCACAAGGACACCAGCTGAACTGATGAAGGCCTCGAACCCTGTCCCTCCAGGGGTAAAAAAGCTGAACAGTAGAGAATTCAACAAAGACATTTAAATATGTAAGCACTGTTGTAATACCTAGTAAATAAAAGCCCCTGCATTTCTTTCATCTCACCTGTACAGCTGCTTCCGCTTGTCTTTACTTGGTGGACCTAACTGATCCTGGTCCACAGAAACCCATGCAAGAAAGCTGAATGCAGAACCTGGCCAGCGTTGAACTGTTGGCACAACAATTCCAGCCATGCCGGGCGACAAGTCAAAGTACTGCATGGCACTCTCCAGACCCTGTTTTCGTACCATTGTTAAGAGTGCTCTGAGGGCAGGACCAACGTAAGGGTGAGCTTGATTGGGCTCTGGAGGTCTGAGGAGACGCAAGAGCCTTAAAAGTTCTCTGGCACTCAAGGACTGAGAGCCCAGTGATCCCACCAGCCCAAGGAGGCTCTCAGCACAAGCTCGATGCAATCGTTCGTGGTGTTCCAGGGCAGCCAGAGCTCTCATGACCATGGTGGCGTTTACACAGATGGTGCGGGTTTGGCGATTAAGGCAACTAAGGCGACGGAGCCAATCGGCCGTAAAAAGCTGGAGTTCCGAGGAGTCCAGCTCCGGGAGCCACTGGACCAGCAGCAGCAAGGGCTCCACGTTACTAATGCCCAAGAGTCCCACTGAAGTGTGCTCTCCTTCCACCGCCTGCAAACAAACAAGTAGAACAAGTAGAAGGTTAATACAATGAAAAATAAAAATGTTATCAAGAACCAAAGACAAAAAGCCTCTGACCATGTTCATCAGTTCTTTCAGAAGATGCTTGGATGGTTGGCCCAGAGAGACCAGCACCTCATACAGATGATTGTAGCCTATTCGCTCCTTGAACACCTCCTACAGATATTGCATAAAGCAGAACAAACAATAGATATAAAATTTCCTAACTTAGATGGTCATTGGAAAATATTTATAAAAAATGACAAAATGTTTTTACTGCAGTGTCTGTGACCTTGTTACCTTTGCAGCTGGTGATTTGTGCATCACCACAGTCAGGGCTTTAATGGTAGCTACAGCCAGAGAGTCCAGTCGACCCTGAAACACCTGAAGGACAATTAAGCAGATTAGTGTTTGTACCCAGAAGACAATACTTCTGTTTCCTCTTATTCCAAATCAATGAAACAACATGCCTGTGAAAACAATTCAGAGCCTTGTTTTTTTCCAAGATTGTAGTTATATACAGTTGATTAATTTAGTAAAACAAATGTGAGTCAAATCAATTTGAAGTTTGAAGTTTTTGCTCTGCAGCAGGAGCTGCATCTAAGCTCCTACTGCAGATGTTAATGTAAATACAGGAGCTCTAGTCTTTCTGCTTCATGTTAAAATTCACATGGTAAGAATGTGGCTGAGGCAGGAAGCTGTCAGGACCAGGTCAAAAACAAACAAGTAAATTAAACCCACCACCTCTGCAAACACACACACACACAGATAAGTACAGACCAGGTCTTTCCCCATCACACTAACACCCCACACACAGCGCATGCAACCCATAAAGAAACACACACATCTTTGTCCAGCTTTGTCCTTCTCATCTGATTCACTGGTACACCAAGTCAGGTCAGCTGAACAAAGAGACTGAGACCAACAAAAAACAAATCACAGAGTCCAGCTGAACTCTGTGAGGACACACACACACCAGTACAAGGTGAGAACATTCCAGTGAATCCCATAATTCCCCATTAAAAAATCAGAAACAGTAAAGGGCAGGAGGTGTGGGATGGTGAGGGCAGGAGTGTGTGGTCTCTCCACAGCAGAAGAACATTTCATTTTACCTTGAAAAGTTTTTCTGTAAAAGGCAAACTTACATAGCCTTGCCTGTGTGTGTGTGTGTATGTGTGTGTGTGGGGGGGGTCTTTCTAGACACAAGCTGATTCATGCACAAAACCAATTTTAATCTCTGCATTTTGATGAAGGTCTTTGTAATATTGAGTGTATAAGAGTTTTATCCCAGTGAACCAAATCCCAGTCAACGCTGATTTCTGTGATGTGGTTGTTTGAGTGACAGTTGTTTTTGCTCCTGCTGTGAAGAGACCACAGGACTCAGGTCAGGGTGACAGGTGGACGTGACTGTGAGAGCAGCAGCAGCAGGTAGATGGCTGGTGATTGGTTGAG